GCAAGAAAGGGAACTTCGGGAGGCGTGATGACCGACCCCCTCAGGGACAGCTTCCGAGGTGCCCTAACTGCGGCAGGTTCCATGGGCCGGGAGAGTGCCGAGCAGCCGACAAGCAATGTTTCAATTGCCACCGTGCCGGACATTTTTCGCATGTGTGCCCCGAGCCGAAGAGGCCACAGCAGCAGCCACCTTACCCTCAGCAGCAGCTTCCACCTCCACCCCATCAGCAACAGCCCAGACAGCCCCCACCTTACCAGCAGAGGGCTGGGGGTCAGGCCCGCGTGTACAACATCACTCATGATGAGGCAGCCAACAACGCAGGTACGATGTCCGGAATGCTTTCGATATCCAACGTGCCTGTTTATGCTTTATGTGATACTGGAGCCACTCATTCTTTCATTTCTACTCGTTGCTTGGAGGCTTTGTCCATTAGTAATGTGTGCCCTAGTGACCCTCTCAAGTTTAGCCTAGCCTCGGGAAGGATTATTATTTCTGATTCTTTGATTCCTAGTCTTGCAGTCAGTATTGGTGGACATATTTTGGAGGCCAGTGTTTATGTGATTGAAATGCGGGACTTCGATGTGATCTTGGGCATGGACTGGCTCACCCACTATCGAGCCGACATCCGGTGCCAGGAGCGCGAAGTCACTCTCTTTTCCGTTTCTGATCAGCCAGTTGTATTCTTTAGGGTGAAGTCGAGGACTGTGCCTCGAGTCATCTCTTCTATGCAAGCTAGAAAGAGCCTTTGCAAGGGTAGTTGTCAAGGCTATCTTGTTTCTATAGTGTCCGAGGATGACTCTGAGCGGACTCCGGAGCGAGTTTCTATTGTTTGCGAATTCCTTGATGTTTTTCTCGATGAGCTGCCCGGAGGACCACCCGACCGCCAGGTGGAGTTCACCATTGACTTAGTACCGGGAGCTGGCCCCGTGTCTAAGGCCCCTTACCATATGGCGCCGAAGGAGCTTCAAGAGCTTAAGGCCCAAATCCAGGAATTGCTCAAGCTCGGTTTTATTCGACCGAGTGTTTCACCGTGGGGTGCGCCCGTCCTATTCGTGAAGAAGAAAGACAGATCAATGCGCATGTGTAGTGACTATCGGGAGCTGAATACCCTTACAGTAAAGAACAAGTACCCCCTTCCCCGTATTGAGGACCTTTTCGACCAGCTGAGGGGAGCCAGCGTCTTCTCGAAGATCGACTTGCGTTCTGGCTATCATCAGCTGAAGATCCGGGAGTTAAATGTTTCTAAGACTGCCTTCCGTACTCGTTATGGCCACTGTGAGTTTGTAGTCATGCCGTTCGGACTCAGCAACGCCCCGGCCGTATTTATGGACCTTATGAATAGGGTCTTTCATCCCTTCCTGGACCAGTTCGTTATCGTGTTCATTGACGACATCCTGGTTTATTCCCGAGACACCGATCAGCACAAGGAGCATTTAAGGATTGTGCTGGAGACTCTTCGCCGCGAGAAGTTGTATGCTAAATTTTCGAAGTGTGAGTTTTGGTTGGATCGTGTGGCATTCCTTGGACACATTGTGATAGCGAGAGGCATTGAGGTGGATCCCGGCAAGATCGAGGCAGTGAGCAAGTGGGATACGCCAAGAAGTGCCGCTGATGTTCGTAGCTTCCTGGGGTTAGCAGGATACTACCGGAGGTTTATCGAGGGCTTCTCGAAGATAGCCCAGCCCCTAACCAACCTTACGAAGAAGGCCGTGAGGTTCGAATGGAGTCCTAGATGTGAGGAGAGTTTCCAGGAGTTGAAGAGGAGACTCACTACCGCGCCCGTCCTATCCATTCCCGATCCTACTTTGGAGTTCACTATCTACAGTGATGCTTCGAAGATGGGCTTGGGTTGTGTTCTCATGCAGCAAGGGAGAGTCGTAGTGTATGCTTCGAGGCAGCTGAAGCCTCACGAGCAGAACTACCCCACTCATGATCTTGAGTTAGCTGCAGTCGTTCACGCCTTGAAGATTTGGCGGCACTACCTATATGGAGGCAAGTGTGAGATTTTTACCGACCACAAGAGCCTAAAGTACATTTTCACTCAGAAGGAGCTGAATATGCGGCAGCGAAGGTGGTTGGAACTGGTCAAGGACTACGATTGCACGATTAGCTACCATCCTGGGAAAGCCAACGTGGTAGCCGATGCCCTTAGCCGAAGGAGTTATGGCCAGTTATCCTGTCTTTTCACCGAGCAAGATGTCCTTTTTCGAGAGTTAGAGCGGCTACAGCTAGAGGTAGTGGAGCCACCTTCGACAGCCAGGGGTGTGTTGACTACTTTGGTTGTGGGACCGACTCTTCGTGAGAGGATAGTCGCCGAGCAACCGAATGATCGTTTCCTTTGCTGGATGAAGGAGTTTTCGGAAGCCGGTAGAGTTGGAGGATTCGCAGCGGCATCTGATGGAGCATTAGTTTTCGAGGGTAGACTATGTGTTCCGAAGGTGTGGGAATTGCGAAAGGAGATCTTGAGAGAGGCCCATAGTGCCCCGTACACCGTCCATCCTGGTAGCTCGAAGATGTACCAGGACTTGAGGAAGTCGTTTTGGTGGCGAGGCATGAAGAATCAAGTGGCGAGGTTCGTAAATGGGTGTCTGGTGTGTCAGCGAGTGAAGGCTGAGCATCAGAAATCGAGAGGTAAGTTGCAGCCACTTGAGGTTCCCTTGTGGAAGTGGGATTGCATCACCATGGATTTCTTGGTGGGATTGCCGAGGTCGAGGGCCGGGCATGATTCTATTTGGGTGATTGTGGATCGCCTTACCAAGTCTGCCCACTTTCTGCCAGTCCGGACGACTATGAAGGCTAGTCAGTATGCCGAGTTGTTCGTGGACGAGATTGTCAAACTTCATGGAGTTCCCGTGGAGATCGTTTCTGATCGAGACGCGAAGTTCACCAGTCAGTTCTGGAAGACTCTGCACTGAGCCATGGGGACGAGTCTGGAGTTAAGTACAACTTTTCATCCTCAGACAGATGGTCAGTCGGAGCGGACGATCCAGTACTTGGAGGACATATTGAGGGCTGTGGTTTTGGACCGTAGCCTGACCTGGGAGAGTGCTTTACCTCTGGTCGAGCTGACTTACAACAATAGCTACCACTCCTCGATCAAGATGGCCCCATTCGAGGCTTTGTATGGACGTAAGGTCCGAACACCCTTGTACTGGGATGAGGTCGGGGAGAGGAAGATCATGGGTCCTGAGTTCATTCATAGAGCTGCGGAGACGGTTGAGGCTATCCGGAAGAATATCCGGTCAGCCCAAGAGAGGCAGAAAGTCTATGCCGACCGAAAAAGGGATGAGCACGAGTATGCCATTGGAGATCATGTCTTCCTGAAGGTTTCGCCTATGAAGGGCGTGATTCGCTTCGGGAAGAAGGGGAAGCTGAAATCGCGTTATATTGGGCCCTTCGAGATCCTTGCCCGAGTCGGGAACTTGGCTTATCGGCTGGCTTTACCACCTAGCTTGTCGGGAGTGCACGACGTGTTTCACGTCTCTATGTTGCGGAGATACGTGCATTATCCCACTCACGTGGTGGACTTCGGCGAACTGCAGGTCGAGCGAGACCTTACCTATGAGGAGGTGCCGGTAGCTATTTTGGACCAGAAGGTCCATCAGTTGAGGAACCAGGCAGTGAGCTTGGTGAAGGTGCTTTGGAGCCGACATGACGAGTCGGAGGCGACTTGGGAAAAGGAGGCCGAGCTTCGGAGGCGGTACCCGAACTTTGAGTTTTGAGTTCCCTTGTATTTTATTTCGCTTTCAAGATTTTCATTTTCGAATTCCGAGGACGGAATTATTTGTAAGGTGGATAGATTGTAATACCCCGTTTTATTTTGGATTATTGGAGAATAATTATTGATTATCGTTATTATTATTATTATTATTAAATGCCTAATTTCTTATATTACTATTAATATTATGATTATTAATTGTCTAATTGTTTCTAAAGGATTATTATTATATAAATATAAATGGTGTGTATTATAAATATATATATATATCGTCCGGATTAATTTATAATTCGCAGTCAATCGAATCGCTCGGAAATTCTTGTTATAGCGTTGTATTTTAATTCGGTTCGGTTAAATTGATTCTGACACAATTTAAGTTATAATTTTAGCCCAAATGATATTAGTAAGTTGGCCAAATTGAGTAATGTCCAAGGCCCAGATTGTGCCATCTATTTCTTCTCCTTCTTCGCAATTGAGCCCAATCGACTGAACGAGAATCATTCGCGCACATCGCGACCTGTTCTTCGGCCTTCAAATTCCGCTCCTTCTTCCTCGCAATCGACCGAGCTTCTGTTCCTTCTTCTTCGCAAAGACCAGGCCCCAACGGCTCGAAATTCTGTTGCGATTTTGCGGCAGAACCGCTCCCCCTCTCCTCCC